AGCCCCTTTCTTCAAACAGCTTCTCCACATGACTTTCAAAGCACATTCTTTCCTAAACTTCCTCCTACTGCACTAGCTATTCCCTCCCTCAGTCTTTTTTGTGGGCTTTTCTACATTTTCTATGCCTCTAAAGGCTGAAATGCCTTAGGATTGACCTTCTTTCTTTGTACACAAATTCCTTAGCAATTTCATTCTGTTTCGTTGTTTTCATTAGTTTTCTTACTCCTTATTCTGAAATTTCTATTTCCAGATGTGACATCTCCTCTTAGCCTTCAGATGTTAGATGTTTAATAAACATTTCTAATTTAATATGTCCAAAAATTGATTTTCCATCCCAATCTAATCACAACTTTCCCCGTATCAGTGAATGACATCATCAATTACCAAGATACTCAAAACAAAGAGCTTTTTGTATGATTTAACTTTCTATTAAATCCATCATCAAATTATGTCATTTTTCTCTTTAAAATATATACAATTATTGGGATCAGCAGATGGCATAAAGGTTACATTGCTGGACTTCCATGTAGTTAACTGTGGTTTGAGTCCTAGACCCAGTGGCTTAAAATTCTCGCCAGGTGTGTGTGCATGCATGCCCAAAATCCCCAAAGGAGAATAGAAGAGCTGGGGTTGCGGCATGGCCATCCCTCTGGGGGTGATTTTTCGCTGTCTCTCTCTGTCTCTTCAGTGAGGGCACACACCCAAAATTCTGTCAACAAATAATTATATATATATATATATATATAATAAGTAATATATAATAATTATAGTCATATCATTATCATTATAATTAAATATATATATCATTATAATTAAATATATATCATTATTTGTCAATCAAAAATAAAAGAAAGATGGGGGCAGCAGGTGGCATGATGGTTAAGGCATTGTACTCCCTCATGGCCAATCACAGTTTGAGTCCCGGACCTGGAGGCTTGAAAATCATGCCTGGCACATGTATCTGTTTGCCCAGAATCTCAAGAGAGGAATGGAGAAGAGATTGAAGCATGGTCATCCACCTGAGAGTGATTTCTCATTTCTTCTCTCTCTCTCCCCAGTGAGTGCACAAACCCCATGGCAAAAATACAAAAGATAAATAAAGTAAAATAAAATAATAAAAGAAAATTGCATGAGTCCTGTGGCATGCTATTTCCCATGAGCTGGCAATTTATAAGCCAACTTTCTAATCAAATATAAAGATGAAGGCTTACAGTGGTGTCAATGGGTTTCTGTTCCTAGGCGTGATTTTGCTATAGTGAGTTAATATGATGGAGAACTAACTGTGACTCCTCCAGAAATTTCCCTCCTACCAAGACCCAGTGTATAATTTTATATGACCAGGAAAGATAAAAGCCAAACCGAGTAGATAAGTGTCAAAATACAGTGTAAGTTTATGATAATTTACTTATTCTTCCCACAAATACCAAATTCCTACAGCATATTAGGCATCATGCTGAGTACTCACAAAACAGAAGAGAAAAAAAAAAAAACCAGAAGATAACATCATAGATAGGGTCTGTGCTCGCATAGAATTTACATTGTAGTTATCAAATACATTAAATTTGGGGGGCCGGCAGATGCTATGGTGGTTAAGGACGCTGGACTCCCACATGGCCCACCATGTTTCGAGTCCTTACATGTGGCCTGCTTTCTCACTTTCTCTCTCTCTCACTCTGTCCCTCTCTGGTCAAATTAAAATAAATAAAAAAATAAATAAAGTTAAATAAAACAATTCTTTTAAAAAAACAAATACATTAAATTTTGTGAACAAGTAAACAAATATTTTAAACAATTTTAAATCATGATTAGTGTTCTTAAGAAAACAAACATGATGCCATGCTTGAAACAGAAGTGGGGTACTGTGGTAGGCAGAATAATGCCTCCCTCAAAGATGTCTACATTCTGGCATCCAGAACTTGTGAATATGTTATATTACATAGCACAGGAGAATTAACAGGTCTAATTAGCTAACCTTGAGATCCAGAGATTATTCGGGATTATCTGAGTGAAACTAATGTTATCACAAGGGGCCTTAAAAGTGGAAAAGAAAGGGACCAGAAAACGGCATAATGGTTATGTGGCTGGACTCCCACATGGACCTCAGTTTGAGCCCCAGACCCAACAGTTTGAAACTCAGCCGGGGTGTATGTGTGTGAATGCCCAAAATTCTGACAGGAGAAGGGATTGCCACATGTCCACCTCCCCTAGGGGGTGATTTCTTGCTTTCTGTCTCTCTGGTGAGCACATGTATCCTATAGCAAAAATCCCTCTAAAAAAAATTAAGTGGAAAAGAGGGACCAATGTGTGGCATGGTGGTTAAGGTGCTGCACTCTCACGTGGCCAGCCACAGTTTGAGTTCCTGGTGACTTTCCCAAACTCTACCCCCGCCCTCTATCTCCTGCCTCTCTTGCATGGGCCCTACAGCAAATTTAAAAATAATAATTAGGGGTCAGCAGGCGGCATGGTGGTTAGGGTGTTGGAATCCCCACAACGATGGTTTGAGTCCCTGACTTGGCAACTTACTTTCTCACTTTCTCTCTCTCTCTGGTGAGCACCCATGACTATAGCAAATTAAAAATAATAATAAATAAAACTAAATAAATAATTATTTTTTTAAAAAGTGGACGGGAACCAGCAGTTAGCGTAATGGCTATGTCGCTGGACTCCCACGTAGTCAACCGCAGTTCACGTCCTGGACCCAGTGGCTTAAAACTCACGCCAGGCGCGTGTGCGTGCGTGCCCAAGATCCCGAGAGGACAATGAAGGAGAAAGGATTGCGGCATGACCACCACACACCCCCCCAGGGGGTGATTTCTCGCTTTCTGTCTCTATGTCTCTCTCGGTCTGGTGAGTGCACACACCCTATAGCGAAAACCTCTCCAAAAAACAAAAGTGGAAAATAGAGTCAGTAGAAAAAGAGAGAATATCAGAGCTAGAGACTTGAGAATTCTGCGCTGCTGATTTCAAATAAGCCCAGATTTCTATAAGCCCAGGAATGCTGGAAGTCTTTTTTTTTTTGAGAGAGAGATTTTTTGCTATAGGGCGCGTGCGCTCGCCAGAGAGAGACAGAGAGACAGAAAGTGAGAAATTACCCCCCAGGGGGGATGGCCACGCCGCAATCCCTTCTCCTCAATTCCCCTCTCCAGATCTTGGGCACGCACGCACACATGCCCGGTTTGAGTTTTAAGCCACCGGGTCTGGGACTCGAACCGCGGTCGACTACGTGGGAGTCCAGCGACATTGCCATTACGCTAACTGCTGGTCCCAGGAATGCTGGAAGTCTTTAAAAGCTGAAAAAGGCAAGTGGTGTGGCAGTTAAGGCACTGAACTTCCACATAATCAACTAGGGGTCAAGCCCCAGACCTAGTGCCTTGCTTTTTCACTTTCCCTCTCTCTCTCTGTCAAATTAAGAATAATGATAATAAATAAAATAAAATAACTCTTTTAAAAAGACAAGGAAAGCAATCCTTGCCTAGAGTGTGCAGATGGAATGCATTCCTATCCTGCTAATAGCTTGACTTTAGCCCAGTGAGACCCTTTTTGAACTCTGACCTTCAAAAGCATTAGATAATAAGTCTGTTTTGTTTAAAGCCATTGTGGTCATTTCTTGCAGTAGTAAATAGAAAAATAACCCAGGGACTTCATATAGGAGAATCAAGGTAAACTTTTCTAAAGAGGTGTTTATGTCATGGCAAAGGTCAAATAAAACAGGAAACTTAAAGGCCCAAGAGTAAAAAGAGATTGATATGGTCTAGAAAATGATGGCAGCTGAAAATAATTCGTTTGGTGACTAAGAATGAAGTTAATAAGAGATTTAAATTTTAGATAGGATTAGTTTATGCAGGGCCTTATAGACCATATTAAGAAATTTAGATTTAACTTAACATACTGGGAAGATATTCAATAGTTTGAGTTTTTAAAATCATCTTTTATTTAACTTTTAAAAAAATTAATTTTAATTTGACCAGAGAGGGATAGAGTGAGAGATGAGAGAAAGAGAGAGAGAGGAGAGAGAAAGACAGAAAGCCACCAGGTCCAGGACTCAAATCATGTGGAAGTCCAACACTCTTAACAACCACGCCACCTGCCGGTCTCAATATTCAATAGTTTTAAACATGGGTATGACACAATCACTGTCATGCCTTTTAAAAGTATACTTTTTATTGTAGTATAACATACTTACCATGAACAAATCATAGTAGTTTCAATAGATTTTTAGAGTGAATACATCCATGTAACTACAACCCTGAACAAGAAGCAGAATATTATAAAATTCTTAAAGCCTCCTTTGTGCCCCCGTCTAGTCTTTATTTCCACTAAAGTAACTACTATCCTCAGTTTCATCATCTTAGAATAGATTTTCCAAGGGATCAGCAGATGACATAATGGTTAGCTCGCTGGATTCCCACGTAGTTGACCACAGTTTGAGTCCCAGCCCTGGTGGCTTAAGACTCAAGTCAGGCATGGGCATGTTCAAAATCCCGAGAGGAAAATGGAAAAGGGATTGCCATGTGGCCACCCCCCCTGAGGGGTGATTTCTCACTTTCTGTCTCTTTGCGAAGCACACGTGCCCTATAGCAAAAAATGTCTCTAAAAAAAAAAATAGATTTTCCAATCATTGAGCTTTATATAAATAGAATATTACAGAAGTATTTCATTTGTTTCTGATATTTGTTTCTGAGTATTACATTGTATTTGCAGGATTTCTAAATATTGTTGCAGTAGTTTTAGTAGTGGTAGTAGTAGGTTTTTTTTAATTGTCATTGCTGTATGTATTTCTGTATATGGCGTGACAACATACTTATCCATTCTATTGTTGAGGTACATTGGATTGCTTCCAGGATTGAGCTGTGGTGAACAATCTGGCACATCTTTTTTTGCACACATATACATATGCTTAGGCCCTTTACCAAATTTTAAAATAACAGCAAAAATTAAAATAATACATTAAACTAATTAAATAATTAAAAACAAAGATAATTCTGATTGCAAGGGGAGATTATATCAGCTGATTTTATGCACGCACTCATTTGGATTTAGACGTGACGTGAACAAGGTTTAGTATGTAGAAACGTAAGTGTGCTGTATGCACCATTGAAATGGAATTTACTGGCTGGCCCCATGGCACAGTGGTTAAATGCTGTCTGGAAGGAGATGGATCCCACATCGCTGATCACTGTTGGAATCCCTCCTCCCATAGCTTGTGGTACTCATGCCCAGGATCCTGAAGGATGGGGGAATGGAGGAAAGGGGACTGTGGAATAAGCAGTCCCCACTGGGGGACATGTTCTCTCTCTCTCTGGCAGGCACATGTACCCTCTGGCATACACAGAAATGCAATGCACCTGTAAAATTAATCATAATGCTGTGAGTCAAATTATGCTTTTCTGAAGAATGTCGATCTATTCTTTTAAGATACTTTTGTCTTCCCAATACCAACTTTAACAGAGTCTCACAATCTCTTATAAATTGATTTATTAATTAAATGGAGTCCTTTAAACACAAACTCTACAAAAATTTAGTGATGAGGGAGAGAAAATGCAATGCTGCATAAAATTTAGAGTAATGGCCTCCAGGAAAAATTAATTTTACCAGTCTGAAACCGAGTTAGATGAATTCCGAGACATAATATGTGGATGAGAAAGGGCATGTCCAATTAATGGGATTTCTGGCTGCCTGCCCAAGGAGGTTCTGCAAAATCTTACAAGGTAAGACCCTCCAGAATACAGAGGGCCCGCCCAACAATAAATTAACTGCTTTATTGCTCTGCCTGTATTCTGGCAGGCTTTCTCTCATTGTCTCTCCTCCTGAGCTGGCTTGCTTTGCTTGTTCTCTGTTAAAGATGACTCAGCCAGAACTTGCAGTGTTTCCTATCATCTCCTCCCTTTCCTTAACCCCCAGACACCCCCCCCCAATTTGTGTTCCTAGGGTGTCAAAGCAGAGCAGAGCCTTTATTTCCTGTTATTCCAGCACATACTATCGGCCCTGAGAATAATACTGCTTGTTCCGTCTTTCTCTCCTTCGCAGGCTACCTTTGGTCATCTCAATTCTCTTAAGCTAGTGACCCCAAAAATGACAGCTCCTGAAGGTGGGGCTGACGTTCATCTCTGCTCCCTCCTGCAACCACCACTGCAGTCTCATCCGCAGCCTGGAGCAGGGAGAGGCGTGTCAGGAGTTCAGTGCAGTCACACGTTCAAGGCTGACAGGGCTGGCAGTCTGCCAAGTCCTGCACTGCTCTCCTGCCACCCCACCTTCCTCGGCTTGGTCTGTATTTGAAAAGCCTAATAAATTAATTTCCCGGAGGCAGAGGGGGAGGATGGAAGAGGGAGTGTCTGAGGGGCGAAAAATGCAGTCCACTCGCCCTCTGCTGGTTAAAGATCTGAATCTTCGTTGCTGAAACTGAAAAAGAAAGCGATCCGTTAATGCGGATAAATTACAACTAAAACCCGGCTTAACGTACCCTATTTGTCTACCTTAAATAGTTACTAGTTCTTCCTTAGACCTACCTACTTCCCCAGCATTGAGGCTTAACTAGATTGATTCTAAACTCTAGCCCCAGGTAATATATTATGCTATCCTGAACCCATTTTCATTTGCCCTTGGGTTTTTGCCTTTCTCAGACACTAGTCAAACCCCAGACCGTGCTCTTTGTGTCTGATCAGTCGCTAGGCAACTGGAAAAATGACACTTAAACCGTCACTTCTACAACACACTTCTGCTCCAGTGCGATCAGCCTGTATGCTTAAAACAGTGATTTCATGCGAACAAAGAGGCAGCTGCTGTTTGTGGATAATTGGAAAATGAGAAAGAGCAGTCCGTCTCCAGGCTGGTTTCTTGGGAGAGCTGACAGGCTGCTTTGTGCAAGACATGGCATTGGCCACCATAACTCACACAGACGTTTGTACCGCCTTCAGTGTCTTACGCATTTCGTCGGAATAAACCAACACACGGAGGTTAATAACCTAATGCCTGTCCCGTAGCCAGGCGCTACTCGCTGGTTATTTAGATTCCAGCGGGTAGTGAGAGTAAAAGTGGAGGGTTATGCAGTATGAAATATTATTTAACATCGACTGGTTTTACCACAGTTCTAAATGTCCCAAATAAGGGGTTTCATATCCCCCTCCAACTCTGGCTTTGTAAATTAGTCAGTCACATGGTCCTTGAAACCAGTTTGGGTTGGCCAATTCCTTCGTCAGGTGAAAAATCTCTGCAGCGAGTCATGGGACTAAACTGGGCGGTGTCGCTGTCCGTGTCCGGGGTGCTGAACTCTAGGCGTGGCCAGAGAGCTTCCCTGTACATGACAGCTTCCGGTAGGGCGGGGTTGGGTCGCGCTCCAAAATGTTGGATCCATCTGCCACCTGGTGGTTGATAAGAGAAATGCTGTTGATAAATTTAAAAAGTATTTTGGAGTGAGACCTGAAACTCTGGAGACATAAATTGAAGGACTTTGGGATTTGGGGCCTCGGGAGATGGTATTTGAGATGTTTGCCTGGTTTAAAATCCATAGAAAGGTATAGGAGAATGTCCACAGTGATCTTTCCCCTCTACCCAAGAAAATAACTTGCAAATATATTTAAATTTCTCTAAGCATTTCTTTCGTCAGATTTTGTTATCAAATAGATATTTAAAAATAATTTGCACTGGGAACCAGCAGTTAGTGTAATGGCTATGTCGCTGGACTCCCACGTAATTGAACGCGGTTCGCGTCCCGGACCCGGTGGCTTAAAACTCACGCCAGGTGCGTGTGCGTGCGTGACCAAGATCCTGAGAGGAGAATGGAGGAGAAGGGATTGCGGCGTGACCATCTCCCCTGGAGGGTGATTTCTCGCTGTCTCTATGTCTCTCTCTGTCTGTCTGGTGAGCGCACGCGCCCTATAGCAAAAACCTCTCCCCCCCCAAAAAATAATAATAATTTGCACTTATAAATATTTACTGAAACACTCACAGAATATATTTTACTAAAATGAATGTTAAAGAAGGTCTATTTTTTTTTTTTAGAGGTTTTCGCTATAGGGCGCGTGTGCTTGCCAGACAGACAGAGACATAGAGACAGAAAGCGAGAAATCACCCCCCAGGGAGGATGGGATCCATCTGCCACCTGGTGGTTGATAAGAGAAATGCTGTTGATAAATTTAAAAAGTATTTTGGAGTGAGACCTGAAACTCTGGAGACATAAATTGAAGGACTTTGGGATTTGGGGCCTCGGGAGATGGTATTTGAGATGTTTGCCTGGTTTAAAATCCATAGAAAGGTATAGGAGAATGTCCACAGTGATCTTTCCCCTCTACCCAAGAAAATAACTTGCAAATATATTTAAATTTCTCTAAGCATTTCTTTCGTCAGATTTTGTTATCAAATAGATATTTAAAAATAATTTGCACTGGGAACCAGCAGTTAGTGTAATGGCTATGTCGCTGGACTCCCACGTAATTGAACGCGGTTCGCGTCCCGGACCCGGTGGCTTAAAACTCACGCCAGGTGCGTGTGCGTGCGTGACCAAGATCCTGAGAGGAGAATGGAGGAGAAGGGATTGCGGCGTGACCATCTCCCCTGGAGGGTGATTTCTCGCTGTCTCTATGTCTCTCTCTGTCTGTCTGGTGAGCGCACGCGCCCTATAGCAAAAACCTCTCCCCCCCCAAAAAATAATAATAATTTGCACTTATAAATATTTACTGAAACACTCACAGAATATATTTTACTAAAATGAATGTTAAAGAAGGTCTATTTTTTTTTTTTAGAGGTTTTCGCTATAGGGCGCGTGTGCTTGCCAGACAGACAGAGACATAGAGACAGAAAGCGAGAAATCACCCCCCAGGGAGGATGGTCATGCCGCAATCCCTTCTCCTCCATTCTCCTCTTGGGGTCTTGGGCACGCATGCACACGCACCCGGTTTGTTAAGCCACCGGGTCTGGGACGTGAACCGCGGTCGACTACGTGGGAGTCCAGCAACATAGCCATTACGCTAACTACTGGTTCCCAAAAGGTCTATCTTGTTAACCAAAGAGTCAGGGAAGCTTAGCTGAGAGCACTGATCTGATCTCAGTTTGGGAAAAATGAAAAGTGTGATTACATTTAGGAAGTGGTAAAAAGTAATAGGAATAATAGGAAGCAAACTATTGTTTATTTTCATTTTCTTCCAGGTCTAGTATATAACTATTATAGAGTTGAAAATATAGAAAATTTTTGGTATGCTTATTACTTTTAATCATTTAATTCCTTTGTCAGTAGAGATTCTTTGATAAGAAACAATAAAAAATAAGAGTTAATAAAAATGCTTTATTCAAATATCATTATTTGAATTAAAAATACCATGGAAATGTGGGTACATTTTTTAAAGGCTAATAAGTCAGAATTCCACTGGCCATCTAATTTCTAAGTTTCTCATTCTAACTTCTTTCCCAATTACTTCAACACAACTCTTTTGAAACAAGTGACTGCTATATAGCTAGTCTTACTATATGTTCAAATACATGGGTTTTGGTGTAAATTCAATTGTAGCAAATTGAGAATGAGATGGATTTCTTTATCAGACAAACTTACCATTCTCAGAAGTAAATGGATCCATCAGGAGGAACACATGGCTTTTCCTGTCAGTCGACCCAGGTAATATTTGATATTCATACAGACATTTTCTCATTTACTCTTATTTGGATCTTAACCCAGAAGCCAATAGTTACAATTTCTGTTTTAAAGCTTAAAGTCAATTTTTATAGAAAAAAATATTTTCAACAGAAATTTAGGTACAGAATTTGGAGTTAAGTGTCTTCAGTTATAAAAGGGGGAGATTGATCAGTGTTTAGTACGAGGAAGAATTATCACTGTGACCTTGGCTACATTTAATTAAATTGAGAAGTTTCCAAACACTAGTCAGATTTTATGGAAAGATGTCTGTTCTCATACTACCAATATAAAAAAAATAAGCAATAATAAGGGCATGATTGCCATCTGTCTAAAATAGGAGTGTAATTAAATCTGGTCTACAAATGATATTGGTTTATATTACGACTTCTTATGTTACTGTGGAAGAGGGAAACATTATATGCACATGTACATGTTGAACAATAAGGCATTGTCATTGAATCCAACAGATGTTAAGATTAAGAGGAGTCCTAATAATAATAATAAAGCATTCCTACTGCACAGAGCAGCCTAGAAAAGATTTCTATCCCTCCCAAGCATCCTGTTACTGCCAAAATGAATAAGAAAGCTTAGATGCATGAAAAGACAATAGAAGAATAGAATTCTAAAATGGTAGTGAAGTTCTAACTGCAGGTGTGACTTTAATGTTTTAAAGTATATCTGCTCCTAAAAATAGACAGTTTTTTAAGCTAGAGAGGTATATATGAAAGAAAATTATAGGGGATTCCAGATATTGATATACTTGTAAAAAAACCGACTATAACAATAAATGTCACCCAATATTAAAATTTATTATTATTTATTAAACTACTTGAGGTTTGGATACAATAATAGAAATGACAAACAGGGAGACACTCCAATATACTAGGTAGAGTATGTTTTTCTGAAAGAAGTTGGAAATAGTGACAAAATTCTCAGAAAATTTTCAGAAACATTCAAACCTATCACTGACAGGGAAATAAGTGCAATAAATGATACTTTATGTAAATGAATAGATTTTAACCTAACTAAATTTATAAACAGAGTCTTTAAAGGACAGAACGTATGGAAAAAATAACTTGTTATCCAATGTAAGAGTAATTACTTTTCTCTGGCCTACAGAGTGTATTTTTTTCTTAAAAAATTGGCATTCAGATAATAGTGTAATCATTTAAAAATTCTTTTATACACATTTTAAGATTTGGGTAAGTAAGTAAATGGATTGATGGTGTTAGGAACCAAGAATTCTCACTTTGGAGCAAGGAAGGGTAAATATGAAATGGGGACAGGAAAAGAAGAAACATATTAACAGATTTAAAATGTAAGTACCATAATTTCCACATGCATACGTGCATACACTTATCTGATGTAAGTATAAGTATGAACTAATTCACGATGAGCATCATCCATGAATATTAAAAAACATTGGTAAACAGAATTGTTTTGGGAGCAGTATATTCATGTAGTTTCAAATCTCCTTTCTCACAGATCACTAATTAATTATAAAAAGAATTAAAAGGTACCTTTCAAATGGGAAATTTGATGGACAGCATTTTATAAGCAAATCACCAAACTTACTATCACCAATAATGGAATAAAATAACATTGGATGACTCCTGATGAGGACACATCACTTATGTGGTATTTTTGTCAAAATGCTTAACTTAACTCTAATCAAGAGGAAACAATTCTTAAAACCTCCAAATTAGGAATATCCTGAAAAACAATTCCTTAAGAATGGTAGTGTCTTGAAAAAGAAGCTAGGGTCATGAAAAAAAAATAAGTGTCATACAAAATGTACTCTCTAAATTGTTCTAGTTTTGGGACCAGCAGTTAGCATCATGGCTATGTTGCTGGACTCCCACGTAGTCGACCGCGGTTTGCGTCCCAGACCCAGTGACTTAAAACTCATGCCAGGCACGTGTGCGTGCATGCCCAAGATCCCGAAAGGAGAATGGAGGAGAAGGGATTGCAGCGTGGCCATCCCCCCTGGGGGGGTGATTTCTCGCTTTCTGTCTCTCTGTCTCTCTGTCTGTCTGGCGAGCACACACACCCTATTATAGCAAAAACCTCTCCAATAATAATAATAATAATAATAATAATAATAAATTGTTCTAGTTAAAAAAAAAACTAGATGGCGAGCACACACACCCTATTATAGCAAAAACCTCTCCAATAATAATAATAATAATAATAATAATAATAAATTGTTCTAGTTAAAAAAAAAACTAGAGAAACATGACAACTAAAAGCAATGTGTAATCTTTGATGGTATCCTGGATTAAAAAAATAGTCACAAATGATGTTACTGGAACAACTGAGGAAATTAGAACATGAAATAGGTATTAGATAATAGTACTATATTCATGTTAAATTTCATGAGTGTGATGGTTATATTGAGGTCATATTAGAGAATGTTCCTCTATAAGAGGTGCAAAACAAATGTATTACATGTGTTAGCTATTGTCACATAATGTAGTGTAATAAAACACTTACAAAATTAGTAGCTCAAAACAACATTAATTCCCAGTCATACATATGAGAGTTAGCAGATGCAGGCTGAGATTAGCTGTGCTTGACTTCAGATGCAGGATGTGTCCAGTACTGTTCCCCTAACTCCCATCATCCTCTCATCGGTGGGCTGTCCAGAGAACGTTCTTATGAAGGGGCAGAAGAGCAAGAGGACAAGACCACTTGTGCAAACACATTTTAAGCTACAACTCACTTCATGCTGTGTAT